TGCTACTGGAAAATAGTGTTTATTTTATTGTCCAAAAATTCCGTTATCTGGATTTACACATATTTAGTAAATATTTTTTATGTTTGCAGTCCAGAATTTCTTCTGTCATAATTTAGTAGTATATTGATAAAGCTTCGAAATTCAATAAAAATTAAAACATGAACAAAGACTTTAAAAACTTTACAGCTGCTTTTTCTGACTTATAACCTCCGTTACGGAGTTCTTGCATGTGGTGAGTTGGAATAGCCATAAAAACTAAACGAAGAAAGATTAACGTGTAAAATTTCATTTTATTAATGAAGGATGTTTACTTTATCAATCAAACACAAAATTATATCATTGCTCTTAAATTCGTTTTTCAATATTATGGACTTGGTAAATGTATGAATTATATGGGAATGACTGGTGTACACACGAGCAGAATCCGGCCAGGGATTGAAAATTCTGTCATTTAATAAAACACACATACAGAATGATTAATTTTTTCTTTAAGAAGAATTTGTATGATAATTAACGGACTATAAACATGTACTTAATACAATTGTTGATATAGTTTTATCAATTCATCGGTGAAAAGATATGAATCGAAGAATGACCTAAATATTCTCTGTTATCAAACATGTAAAAAAAAAAAAAGGCTGAGGAGGGAGCGAGCGTAGGAATATTGATATTTTTTATTTGCATTTCGGGGGGAAAGTGATTTTCTAATAATAATTTGGCGTTATTTTTGATTTCTTCAACGTATGACATACACAACTTTACCCTTATAATGAACAATAATGTTTTATCTACTTATCATGATGGAACTATTTTGGTCGGACCAATTTGTGTGAGCCGCCGCTGAATACAGTAATATATCTTGCATAAATAGTATGCACTGATCGAATATATTAAAAAAAAAACAACTACCCATTCATCAGTGTTAGTCATATTGAAACAAAACATTTCATACAACAGGTTACAATTCTTCTAATTATTAATTTTATGCCATGGTTACTGGCTACCTGTATCAATATTTTTTCTTTAAATTCCTTCAGAAAGTTACAACAGTTTTGGTCAAATCTTGGTACATTTGTGAAGTAAGATACACGATAAATCCTTTTCAAATTAATTATTATTTTTTTTAACTTTGCAAAGTTATTTATTTCATTGTTTTGTGTTGCAGTGGGTAAGTTTAAAAATTGTAAAACCAATCATTGATTAATGAAGATTAGGAAGTCTAAGATGCATTAGTGTTTTGGGTCACATTTCGCCTTCGCGCAGCTTCCTCCATGGTTAAATTTTCAAATGTGGAGAACCCTGCACCCCCTCCGGAAACAAGACAGTAGAATTTTGTGTTTCTTACATATAATGTACCGTATAGTATTTCTCATCATTTATTATGAATTGAGCAAAAGGTCTATTGTAGTATTTGTATAATTTGTTTTAAAGTGCGAAAAATTGGCACTTTCCTATGTAATCCTATTAGAAAAACAATATAATAGTAAATGTACATGTAGCTGTATTTTGAGACGGTCCCTTATAAAAAGCATGTACAAAGTTGCATAAAGTATAAAATTTAAAGAGTTTCCTGTTGTAGTTTTCACACAATAAAACCCAAGTTGGCTCCCTTAAAAAAAAAAAGACGTCAGACGTCAAATACGATTATTTTTTTCTTGTTTTTAATTTACACGTACGATCTGATTTTTAAATGCTGATTTGTAGTAAAAAAATCTAAAGTGATAAGTAGAAAAAAAAAATAAACCGAAAAGAAAAAAAATGTATATTCTGACTGATTTTGAAATAATGTCCAGCAGTGGATATACTGGATATGCAAAAGAAAATCTTTGATAGCTGGAAGTTTGCACCAGGTAATTTGTGTTGAAAGCCATGCACCTGAAATTCGATATTAAGTTAAAATCATTTTTGCAATCATTAGTGATCATGATATTTTTGAAAATATTCGATGAGAATTTGAGACCTTAAGGAGGAATGCCACACCAACTTTTTATTTTATAGATCTCTGAGTCAACCTTTTTAAACAATGGTTTCAGCATTGAAAGGCCGACACTAGCTCTTAATTATTTCATATGAATTTTTTTGTATTTTATCAAAGAAAACGAAAACAATTAATTAAATCCAAATTAGATGCTTTCTTGTAAAATTTTTGCTGTAAATGAATGCATCACATGAATACCTAATAAAATATGTAAAGAAAGTCTGGTTAGACTTTTTAATTTTTTTTTATAAAAAATTATTTATGAAAATTAAACACATAATTTGTGAATATTTTTTAAACTTGTGGTTAAAATCTTCTTAAAACCAGTCACAACTGGGGAGAACATGTTCATTAATCATATTTTTAAAAGAAATTGAAACGAAATATCCAAATTTTAGAGAAATTAATTTTTTTTAATTTTGGCCAATCCTGATCAAAATTAAACCGATCCCGACCATAATTGTACAATTATTGGAAATAAATAAAATTTTCCTAAAAATACTAGTCTGATTAGGTGTTATAAAGGTTAAAACATTATAGAACCTGACAATAAAATAGATTTCTTCATTGTAAATATATGAAGAGGCAATAAATTAGCATTTTATTCATTTTGTGTAAATTTTGATCGGGATCGGTTGAATTTTGATCGGGTTAGGTCCAAATATTAAAAAAATTAATTTCTCTAAAATTTCTAAATTTTGTTTCAATTTCTTTTAAAAATATGATTGACAAACATGTTGTCCTTAGTTGTGACTTGTTTTATGGTGTTTTTAACCACAAGTTTAAAAAATATTCACAAATAATGTGTTTTATTTTCATAAATAATTTTTTATTAAAAAAAATTAAAAAGTCTAACCAGACTTTCTTTGCATATTTTATTAGGTATTCAAGTGATGCATTCATGTACAGCCAAATTTTTACAAGAAAGCATCTAATTTGGATGTAAATAATTTTTTTCATTTTCTTTGAAAAAATACAAAAAAATTCATATAAAATAATTAAGAGCTAATATCGGCCTTTCAATACTGAAACCACTGTTTAAAAAGGATGACTCAAAGATCTATGAAATAAAAAATTGGTGTGGCATTCCACCTTAACCGTAAGGATGTCACGCCTTACTGAATTTCTAAGAGCTCACAGGTTATTGCATGACTAAAGCAAATACACAATCAGAATGGAATTGTTGAGCAATTTCCTTAATTAGTTCCAATCCTGTGTATTGAGGTTACTCAGAAGGAAGACTCAGACAGTGAAGTCCTTTTAATCTTCTAACAGAACAGGTTCACACTGCAAATGTTAACTGCTAATATATATTAAACATTCCCGCAATGCCAGTATCAGAGAGATCAACAACTGTACACAATATATAGGGCAGGCCTTAAAGCACGCAGACCATTCCTTTTCCGTAGGAATTTCAGTTGGGGGGGGGGACCTAAAGGCTAACATTTTCAGTTGGGGCACTATCAACTTCCAAAAATTCTTTGACAAGCAAAAAAAAAGGTCATCAGGCGTTTTTATTGGGGGAGGGGGGGCACCAACATACATGTAGCTTAGTTTCAATAGTATTCTTTACTGGCATAATCGGCAAAATTATTGGGGGGGGGGGGCACGGCCATGAACCACACGAAAAGACAAAAAGAACGCTTGTAGCCAGTGTATGCAAAGATTTCCATGTACCCAATAACACGGACACTTGAAGACAAGCCTCCCCCACCCACCCCACCCCCAGTATTCGAGCCCGGGGTACAAAGGATATTTATCATTTACAACATAGGAAAAATCAGGGGAAAACCCTCAAAATAATTGTTCCATTGAACAAACATTTCTCACCTCGGATTGTAAGTTGGGTATTTCTGTATGAAACACTTGTTTTGCGTTTTTCTTCCGATGTTTCCTATGGTATACAAAATAAATAACTTAGTGTAAGAAATCGGAGGGTCTTTTCTGTCACAAATTTCTTGACTATTGTAGGAGAAACAGAGAGGGTTACGGTTTAATCCTGAATTATTGTCTCCAGCTGAACAATTACGGGAGAAAAGGATCAATGCATTTGATTTCCATTTTCGATTTTTAATGATAGCAGTGAGCAGAGAAAAGCATTATGAAGGGATGACTATTCACCCCTATTCGAAGAATCAGCTACTGTAAAACCAACTTTTATTCGCGTGCGAAATACATGTATATCCGCGAGATTTCGCGTCCTTATTTCCCTGATCAATTTTATGCTCATAATGATATCAGCGACTGTAAATGTCGGAAGAGAACACATGCAATATTGACTTTTGAAATTTTGATTTTTAAAATTCAGGAACCCCGTATTACAAAAGAACTTATGACAAAAATCAACAATCTAATTCTGCTTATAACTTTCTTGTTTAGATTAATTTGAAAAAAAAATGTTTAATATTTTTTTAAAAAGTAACGTAGAAAGATATTTTTCGCTGTCAGTTTTATGTACAAAAATTTTCAATTAACTTAAGTTTCTGGTATTAGTCACAAGTTTTTTGTAAACGGACCCCAGACCTTTTCTACTCTTCTTTGTCAAACACTTCGGCGCTAAGTTGTCGTCAAATTCGATAGTATGCCCTGATTAATAACAAGTTTTAGTGAAATAATACGTAAGGATATATTTGTATATTGTAGATGTTTAAACATCTGGGTTTGGCAAGATTTAAGGGCTCATTCAATTGTACATTACCGGGTATATTAAGTTGTGTGTTGCTTTTTTTTCAGTACATGTACTGTTATTTATGAGATATGTTAGCGTAGCAGCAAAATGGTCTTATCACCAGTTTTTTGTGTTTATATAAACAGATTTTATGCAACTTCACAGACATGATCGAGATTTATTTAGAATACTCACGTTTTTACACGCATTGTTATTCTACCCTTTTCACCAAAAGCATTAGCAAACGAAGAAAAAAAAGCAAAAATCGTGTCTAACCATTTATCTAAATTGGGTTAATCAATGTTATAGTTGTAAAAGTCTTTGTGACATTGAAAGTTGACACATTTTTTGTAGGGCCTAGTTACTCCAGAGTCTGGTGGAAAGGATGAGGTCTGTGCCGTTATTCTCGCTACACAATGGCGGCGGCGTCTCCAACATTATCGTAAAATGGAGGCCAGAGAAGCTATCATGGACGAGTTGGGACTCAGAAGAATTGAGGAACACCACCCTCCAAAGTTGACCCAAATATTTAATTAAAAATTACTGATGATGTAATTCATGGCAATACCAATATGACTATTTTTAGAAGTTTTCTCATAGTCCTCTGAAGAACAGACCCTGATTTTTTTTATCAGGACGCTGCAGTTTTTACAAAGTTTATTATCATATGTACATGTAAATTAAAAGAAAATTCACATTTTTACAAGGCTCATATGAATTTATTCAATATAATTTATATTTAATAGACGTAGTATAAATTTTCTGATGTTCATTATATAAAGATTTTAGTTCCCAGCACTTGTTAAAATTTTTACTGCTTTAGAATAATTATGATTATGAAATGATATAATTTCATTTTTATGCATTGTTAAGGGCCCAATATTTATTTGTTTTACTTTCATGTTAAAAGTGATTTAGCCTCAATAGTTTTTATTCTGAAAAATCCACAGTTTAATTACTGTATCAAAGTGCAATATAACAGTTTGATATTGTTTAATATTCAGTTTTACTATGGATAAGATTTTACTCATTTAACGAATAGTACTAAGTCCTACTTTACTTTTACTAAAAGCATTTGTATATGTAAATTTGCTGCATTTTATTTAATATGCTACTTTACAATTAAATTAAAGGAAATTACGTGGTGTTATTATTGCCTGTAAGTTTGGTACAAAAATGTTACCTAGAATATGTACAACTGAAGTAATGGTGTCCAGGCTTAAACTCTAAAAAAGATACTTGATTAGAATGGATTCAAACTTTTGTATGTCAATGCTCACAACCCAGTGGTAACCATGAAACATACATGTACATGTCTTACACTGAATCAATGAAATGGGAAGTTATCGCACCAAAATTGAGATGCAATAATATTTTAGGCATTGTTATTTTTGTTAAAACAAAATTTGACAATTTAAAATGATTTATCAATCGGAGGTATCTATTAACAGTGAAACATATGGCTATAACGTGTACAGTGTTCAGTATCAAAAGTCCATAAAACAATACAAAATAGGAGCAGAGCAAACACAGACCTCCAAAACATCAGAGGTGGGATCAGGTGCCACGGAGGAGTGAGAATCCCCTGTCAACCGGTCATGGTCGTGAAATAACGGAAAAATCCATCGTCAATTCAGTGTATAAAATAACGGACTAAGAATTAGTAAGAAAAACGCCAGTCAGCATTTGACTCGATGATAAATTGTATTTGCTGACAAGGTTATTGTGTCGACCATAGAACTTAAGAAACGGTGACTTAAACGAGACTGCTGATATTCTTGTTTCATCAACTTGATTGTCAATAATTTAACTCGTTTTAGAAATTGTTCATACGAAAAACATGCTCTTGCGCATCACTTTTATCATAGAGCTTGGTTCTTATATTACCATTAACGTCTTTTTCAAGTAAAATATCCAAATATGTAATAGATGTGTCAGACTCTGTGGTATCTTTTATTTCAAGCTAACCAGAACATATCGTATCGACATATGATTGGAAATTATCGAGTTGAAGGCCACAGCAAGTGTTTTCTTCTTTTCACGCATAATATTTTGCAAAAATTCTGCTTCATATGAATGCAAAAATAGGACTGCTAATAACGGGGCGCAATTGGTACCCATGGGGATTCCAATAGATTATTTGAAGACCTCGTCTTTAATTTATTGAGGGGAATGGTTGTGTATTAAGTTGAAAAGTCGTAAATTTTAAGCTGATGATTTTGGTAAAAACTTGTGATTTCAAAATGGCCGAAAGTTCCTTGGAATTTTTAGTATCCACATTTGATTTACACCACTTCTTGAATATATTGCTGCAAAGTGAAGTTTCTCATTCACTAATATTAATATCTTAGTGAGGAGTAAAGAAAGAGGCTTGGTTGAACATTTACTTGAACCCACTATGTATCTTTGTTTGTAAGGATTCTAAATAAATGAAGTTTCGAAATCTAACAGAAATATGGTAGAAATATTATAAAAATAAATGCTCATTTACAACAGCTGAAAAATTCAAAATTCATGTTATGTTTGGCAAAAAAAAAAAAACAAAACAAAACAAAACAAAAAAAAAAACAGAGCAGAGTAGACTCATGGATTGAGATTATGGTTTACATTCAGAAAGAAAAGAACGATGGTTCACTTTAAGTATATTTCAGAAGCAAAAAACTGTTTGACAGGCAAATATGTATAAATTGTGTCCTAACCAAAGTTATGGAAAATAATCTTAACCCTCGTTTCTGTTTAGAGAATGAACATACAAATTATTGCAAATCATACAATTTAGTTGGAAACTCGAGCCATTCATGGCAGCAGAATGTCACGTGAACCTCAGAATAAAGCGTGTGAAAAATTGTATAGAAAACATGTTTCATACAACGAAAGTGACGTTAGTTTCATATATGTACATGTATTCGTGAAATGGCATTACACATTAATTCTCTAAAAGATATGGCCTAATGCACGTTTTAAACCATTGCGTCGAAATTATTGGAATTTTCATATGAAAGTGTGATTTTAAAATCTAAACTGTAATTTTCTTTCACATTGTAAAAGATGTGTATAAATATACCTGTTACTTTATAGAATTTTCATATATGTCTTACTTTTTTAAATCTCTTATTCGTGACTTTAATTGTTCAATTGTCATGATATTTTTTTTTCATTTGGTGTTAATTTCACAGATTAGGAAGAAAATTAAACCATTGCGACTTCAAGGCGATAGTATTATACAGTCAATGACATTTTGATTTTTTTCTGAAGGAAGAAAAACAATATAAATCTTGAGCAGAACCAACCAAGACCTCTAAAACTTCAGAGGTAGGATCAGGGGCCATGTATGAGTGAGCAGGCCCTGTTGATTGACCAGTATCAATATCTGGTGAATTAACTGTAACGTTTCCATAAGTAGGACTTCTCAAGACGTAATTCATAAGCTTTAAGGTAGTCCTATCCTTAGGATCATAAAATCAGCAGTTAAGTAATTGAAAATGTTCACAAAAATATCGCTGAATTCACAAAGTAATGTATATTTACCCACAATATTTCTTCAAAGTTACTATTAATTATAGTTATTCATATTATATTGTGAACATTATGAAATCTTCAATATATATTCACGAAAGAGAATAGAAACATCAACTATTTTCTAATTGAAAATTGACTAACAATTATACTTTAGGTTATAACACTATCTATTAGGTATCCAGGCATTAAAGGAATTTGTATTTTTTTTAAAATACTTAGCTTCTTTGGCATTCCTGGTCTTCAATTTCCTTCAATTATTATACACTAAGTAATTTCATATTATGCTAATAAGCTTGATATCTAAGGTTTGATTCAAGAAAATCCCACTTTTCTAAACTGTATTCATTTTTTTCCTCTTTTTAGGGTACAAATGTCACCTTTCTAAGACGTCAAAGAACCTTGATTTATAATAAGATGCATAAAAATTAAAATGAAAATTGTTGCATGAAAAGTGATCAATATCAAGCCTCATGCTGTGAATTTTTTAATTTAATAGTAATATTATGAGTTACCCTTCCTGCTTGTGGACTACATACGCAAGGTACCTTATCTACTGATAATTTTTCAATATATTCTAAATTTAAACTTACAATACCACTGCATGTTCTTCTACAAAAAATCAACATGTGTTACCAGGGGTTTTGAAAAGATACCAAATTATGAAAATTTTTGCATTATTCAAAGAAAAAATTACAAAACATAGATCAGCGATTTTTTTTCATCAAAAATTGTTTTAGAAGAGGTGTACAAATCCAAAAGTATTGCACACAGGTCCTTCTATTAGTGGAACTCTTCAACTCCTGGGAAGAACGCATTAAAATTCAAACTACGTTGCGTATGACCTTAAACCTTAGAGGTCTTTGTTGGGTCTGCGTTTGATTTATATTGTTATCATTACTTTTAATATTGATTACTACTCGTTATCTCCATGATATAAATCAGTACATCCAGAAGAAAAAAATATCAGAATTTGTCTTTGAATGTATATATTAACACTATATCGCCTTCGAGTCACAGTTGTTTAATTTTTACTGTATAATCTGTGATATTAACACCAAATGATAAAAAAATATCTTGACAATTGAACAACTGAAGTCACGAATAAAAGATTGATTTCAACACAGATTAACATAACGAAAAGAAGAGGAGAACTAGAAAATCTTTGCAAAGTAAACATAATACATAAGTGAGATATACATTTAATATATAAGTAAGAAAAATATACTAGAAATTTTGAATTGCATCGCACATGTAGTCTAACTATATCATTTTCAACATCTACATGTATTTCCAAAATCAACAACATAAAAAAAAAAAAAAAAAAAACCAAACAAACAAAATTCTGCAATATGATATCTTTCGTCAAAAATTGTACTAGGTCTTTAATTTCAATTTGAATGTATATTGCTCAATGAGTAAGGGAAGTTGACGATTGAAAAGTTAAAGTTATCTCGTTTAATTGTCATAAAGCTTGATTGTTAGATTACATGTACCATTAACGTCTTTTTCAAGTAAAAAATATTTATCTATGAAACAGATGTGCTAGACTCTGCGTTGTCTTTGATTTCAAGCTCACCAGGATATATCGTATGGGCATTAGATTGGAAATAACCATATGATTGTTAATTGCATGACAATATCATCATATCACGTTTAAATACCAGGTATCTAAATGTCGAGTTGAAGGCCACAGCGAGTGTTTTCTTCTTTTTACGTATAAGATTGAAGAAACTCTGCCTCTTATGAATACAATTACAATGTAACAACAGGTGCATTGAAACATGGTACATGTGTATATATTTCCAACAGATTTTTGAAAGACTGGTTTCTTAAATCTGTAAAACTACATAGATATTGTCAATGAAAACCTCAATCTTATTCTACTTGAATTAGAATGTTTTTTTTTAAAGAATGAATATCAAATACATCTGCTAATGACTGATTAACACCATTTTTCGAATATATTGTTGCACAGAACCCCAGAAGTTTCTTCATCACTTTCCCTGCTGTTAATGTATTTGTTAGGAATAAAGAAAGACGTTTAGTAGAAAACTAGGTATCTAAAATACAAGAACCCGATTCGTATCTTTTTTTTGAATCCAGTACATATAGATCTCGGTGTGGTTTTTAATTTCAGTTTGGTTGTTTGGAATTATATTATCTTGTAAACAGTCATAAAAATGGTAAAATAACGAGTAGTAATTAAAAATCTACAATCAATACTGAACTGTGAACAAGGCACCGACCCCGGGA